GGATTGGATTTTGACCTTGCTTTGCGGCCTTCCGGAAGAATGGTCGACGTTGATTACGACACTCGATAGCGTGCAAGACACTTGGACGAAGGAAATGGTGGTCGGTCGGCTTCTCTATGAGGAATCGCGTCGCCGACAATTCGCTAATGAGAGCATGGGGACCGTCATGTTCTCCGGAGGGAGTTCTGGAGGAAAGTCCAAGTGGAGCAAGGGTGCGACGAAGAAGTCGTCCGGTGGAAGCGATCGCGGCAAGGGAAACGCATCAAACGGCGCAAGCAAGTGCCACTATTGTGGCAAAGCGGGACACTTTTGGCGTGAGTGTCGGAAGCGCCCGAGCGATTGGACTCCATCGAAGGCGCGGAACCACGAGGGCTATGCGCATACGGCATCCGGCGAGGCGGATGATTCAAGGGAGTCAATCGTATTATTGGCGGGTGACGGGACCAACACTCCAAGCGACGCATGGTTCCTCGACACCGGCGCAACACAACACATGACGCACTTGGCATCGTTCCTCACCAACGTTGGTGCACCGGGAGATGTCATGCGCGTCGTCTTCGGAAACGACAAGTCGCTACCGGTGGTCGGAGTTGGGAGTACGCGTCTCATCGTCGATGGCGGACCGGTGGACATCACGAACGTGCTTCACGTCCCGGGGTTGAAGGTGAATCTACTCTCCGTCACTCAACTCGCGAAGAAGGGTGTGAAGGTTACCATTGACGATGCGAATATGAACCTCTATTGGAAGGGGGAGCAATTCGCACAAGGCGTTCTCAACGGAGAACTCTACCAACTCAAGACGCACCCGAGAGCGGCTTCATCCAACGTGGCGCAAGGCTCCAAAGCGACTCTCAAGGCGTGGCATAATCGGCTTGCGCACGCGAACTACGAGTCGGTCAAGGAGTTGGCCAAAAAAGGACTTGCGAAGGGTTTCGACGTGATCGCCGGCGACGACGAGAAGGGCGTGTGCGCGGCATGTGTCGAAGGAAAATTGGCGCGCAAGCCATTTGGTAGCCGTACCTCACCCCTCGCCAAGGACCCGCTCGCGCTTGTTCACATGGACGTGTGTGGACTGATGCGGTACACATCAAAGGGAGGAGCACGGTTCCTCTTGGTGATGCTCGACGATGCGACGCGGATGTGTTGGACGCGACTCTTTAAGGCTAAGGGAAATGCGGCCAAGGTGATTCAAGAGTGGGCGCTCGAAGTTTGCGACGACGACGACAAGAAGCGGATCAAGGCTATTCGCACCGACGGTGGCGGCGAATTCGTGAACAACGAGCTTGCAAAATGGATGAAGAGCAAGGGCATAAAGCACGACGTCACAACACCCTACACACCCCAACAAAATGGAGCGGCGGAGCGGCTTAATCGCACGTTGGTGGAAGCCGTTCGTTCTTTACTTCAACACTCCAAGCTTGGAAGCGAGTGGTGGGGAGAGGCGAGTGCGCTAGCGGCGTGGATTCGCAACCGTTTGCCGACGAAGGTACTCCTGGGAACAACTCCGTTCGAAGCATGGATCGGAACAAAGCCGAACCTATCCCGCCTACGCACCTTCGGATGTCTTTGCTATTACCATGTACCGGACCCCCTTCGCCACAAGTTGCAACCGAAGGCTCGTGCGGCGATCTTCTTGGGAATTGCTGCGAACGAGCGTGCGTGGCGAGTGTGGGATTTGGGTGACAAGCGCGTCGTCACATCTCGGGACGTGGTCTTTGACGAAGACAAGTTCCCGATGAAGGAGAGATCTACGCCGCAACTCACCGTCGTACTTCCCGCACGAGAAGAGGATGAAGCGGTGGAGGTTCCACCACAAATGGACAAGGAAGCCGAAAATGGAGGGGGAGAGAACGAGGAGAGCGATAATGAGGTTATGGAGGTGCCACTAACCGCGGCGGCAACTTCCTCTACACCTTCCTCCCTACCATTGGCGTTGACCCGCGAACGTCGTACTCCTCGCCCCAACACGAAGTACACCGACTACACTACGGTTGCCGTTGGGGAGTTGGATGAGGAGCGTGCGGCATATTGCTTCGCAACCATAAGTGATGACCCTCGCACCCACACGGAGGCTTTGGCTTCTCCGGAATCACCGCTATGGAAGCAAGCGATGGAGAAGGAGCTAGCCTCGATCAAAGAGAACGACATGTTTGAGCTCATCGACCCGCCGAAGGGTGCCTACTTGGTGGGATGCAAATGGGTGCTTAAGAAGAAGTTGGGAGCCGATGGGAGTGTCGAGCGCTACAAGGTGAGGCTTGTAGCTCAAGGGTACACTCAACGGGAGGGGGAGCACTATAGTGAGACCTTCGCTCCCGTCGCTAAGGCTACTACTCTTCGGGTGTTGCTCGCGCTAGCGGCATCTCTCAGCCTCGAGGTTGAGCAATTGGACGTTTGCACCGCCTTCCTCTACGGGCTTCGCATGGAAGAGGTCTACATGCGGCAACCCCCGGGGTACGATGACGGTAGCGGAAGGGTATGGAAGCTCAAGCGTACCCTCTATGGCTTGAAGCAAAGCCCACGCGTATGGTACAAGCGCATCGACGACTTTCTTCTTCAACACGGCTTCGCGCGTAGCGAGTGTGATAGCGCTTTGTACGTGTTCAAGGAGGGGGAGAAGCAATTGGTTCTTTTGCTCTACGTCGATGACCTTCTCCTCTTCTCCGACTCCAAGGACCTCATTCGGGAGGTCAAGCAACGACTAGGGGAGGAGTTTGCAATGAGGGACTTGGGACCGGTGACGTACTACCTCGGGATGCACGTCGACCGCGACCGAGCCAACGGGACCATCCACCTCCACCAAGATAAATATGTGAAGGGGGTAGTGGAGCGCTTCGGCATGGGCAATAGCAAACCGGTGGGGACACCACTAGCTACGGGCTTCTCTTGCCTCACGGGACAGGAAGAATCCGCCCTAGATGAAGCCGAAGGGAAGCGGTTTCATTCGCTAGTGGGCTCGCTCATGTATGCCGCCGTTTCTACCCGTCCCGACCTCGCATACGCCGCCGGGGTGCTTGGACGAGTCGTGAGCAACCCTCATACCGAGCACGTGCGTGCGGGAGGACGCATTCTACGCTACCTCCAAGGGCTATACCGACTCGGACTACGCCGGAGATCCGGGTACGCGCAAGAGTACCTCCGGGTACGTCTTCACCTTGCTTGGGGCAGCCGTGAGTTGGCAAAGCAAGAAGCAGCCCACCGTCGCTCTAAGCTCAACGGAAGCGGAGTATATGGCGCTTACTCAAGGCGCCATGGAGGCAATATGGCTACGGCGTCTTCTAGCGGAGCTTGGGCATCCTCAACCGAACCCAGCTCCTCTCTTTTGTGACAACCAAGCCGCCATAAGCCTCTCTCACAACACCGTCCTTCACGGGCGAACGAAGCATATTGAGGTGAAGCATCACTTCATTCGTGAGGCGGTTGAGAAGGGTGAGGTCAAACTCACTTATGTGAGCACCAAAGCTCAACCCGCGGACTTCCTCACCAAACCACTCCCTAAGGACTCATTCCGTGCATGCTGTGAGCGTGTTGGATTGAACACCTAGTGGCTTGGGTGCAAGGGGGAGTGTTGGAGGTTGCGTGAGGCAAGGTTTTCCCCCAACCACCGAATGAAGCTCACGGTTGAGTGAGCTGCAAGTTGGAAGGTACACGAAGATTGGAGATTGTCGAGAAGGTGCAGGTTGACTTCGGAGGACTTGCACTTCGGTGCCACATGGCGGCACAAGAACAATCGAGACTGAAGGAGAATTCGATTCGGTGAAATTCGAGTTCCGAATTTCACCCCTTCGAAATGTTACTCGAACATTCGAGAGTGTAGCGACTCGAGGTTACTTGTGCGACTCGATGTATTGCAGTTCATATAAATGTGTTTGCTTTGTATTGCATGAATCATACTGAAAATCAGAGTTTCCTATACACGGTTCAACTCGACACAAAATCTAGAGAGCTTCTATCCTTAGCACGTGAACGCCAATATCTCGGCGGATACTTAGGCGATCGACGTGTTCTTAGGCTCGTTGAAAAGCCAACAGAGTGCTCTACTGATTAGAACAAATCCCACTGCAAATTAGAGGAGAGTCCTTTACAACATCCTCGATGTTCTTCTTCAACTTATCAATCATTGAGGAAACATTCACACATTTCGGGCAAACTCACTGCGTGCATATGTAATCACTGCCACTGGAGATGAAGCAACAGGACATTATTCTTAATGATCAAGGCTTCTGCGAGGGGACATGGTTGTAGTGAGTCCAGGCTCAGCAAAGGAAAGCATCCTCTCACAAACGTTCAACGAAGCATTTTGGTTCACGACGGTGGTTCCACACATGATGCTATATGATGGGACTGACACGTTCTCGGCATGAAAGGAGTAATATTCACTGAAAATCTTACCTGCCTCGAACGGGATTTCCAAAACGCACGGAAAGCTTTGCCTGACTCCAAAAAGGATCGCTGAAAGATTTATGGAGTCCTCTGCTCATGATATGAGCAACGAGGTGGAAGCGCGAAATTCGCACGATATGCAACCCCAAGGCTCAGGCTGGAAGACTTAGATCGGTTTTACACGGTATGGTGCTTTATTCGTAGGATAATGAGTGGTCAAATGTGGTAAACTCCACTCTGCTCGGAAACACATTTCCCCAGATGATCGAGGGGAAAATCGAGTATCGAATTTGACAGTGACGGGCGTATTTCCGATGCACGCGCTCGTCCCGAAAGTTGTGTCATGTTTTCATTTTTGAAATATATCGACCGAAAGTGCAGCCTTATGTCGTTTGGAAACACTGTTCTTCTAAGAAAGTCACAGGTTTGGTGACACTGAGAGGCCGAAACTTGCCAGTGCACACACGCCCTGGAAGGAACTCCCCCGGTCTCCAATTAGCCTCCCAGCTTCACGATCACCTCTCTATTAGAACTTGCTCCTAGTAAGACCATGGTTTGTCACACATCTGGCCAATCGATCAAGAACCGCTCCACGTCGTGGCCTTCTATCGCGTTTTCAAATGCCTACGTATCGTAAATCCCACGCCATCCTGCTTCTTCGCTCCGCTTTCCTCATCCAACTCACCTTCTCCCTCGTCGCATTCGCCGCGTCGCCTGCGACGTTTCCTCCACAGCCCTCGGGACATCGTACGACAATTTCAGTCGCACGACCAGATGGGGAAGGCGGGGAAAGGGGAGAGGATTTATTAAAACCATGGCGGACCCGTGATTCGTTGTCGCCCATGCTGCACGACCATGTGACATCCGTGCGACGAGTTCTGGCGGCAGGCGACCCTGGCGATTCGCAGAGCAGCGCAGACGGCATGTCCGCCGCACTAGGCGGCGCAGGACGCGGCGGGTTGGGCCGCCATAGATCGCGGGAGGTCCGGCGCCTGGAGCAGCCAATCACACGCAGCCAGCTGGCGCTTCTCAGCCTGAGTTTCTTCCCGGAAGTGTCCGGAGTAGACATTATTAGCGGCGACGAGGGGGAAGACAAGAGAGGGAAGAAGCGGAGGGAGCAGGTGGCGTTGCCGAATTTGGGGTGCAAAGGCGCAATTTGCCCAGAATTTTCGGAATGCGGGCAGGGGATACAGGCGTGCTGGAACCCGGAATTCGTGGACGGGCAGGTGAATGAAAACGGTGGTAGAAGTAAGGTTCTAGACAAAAACGATTCAGCAGCCAATCGCGACAGTCTTACTCGGATAGCTCCGAATCACAATGCCACAGGAACCAATGCCAAAGCTCCACAGGATGCGGTTGCAGCCAATGCTACCCATGCAGCAGCAGCAGCAAATGCCACTGGCAGCAGCCAATCAACCCAGGATTCTTTTTCTGGTAAGGCCACCCCACCAGCGACAGCCAATGCTACCCCATCAGCAGCAGCTATTGCTTCCCCATCGCCGCCCGAAGTGTCGACGAGAAGGCGGTTGGTGGAGGAGCAGGGCATAGGGGGCAGCCGGCAGGTGCCAGAGAAAGGGCGGCGGCAGAAAAGAGAAAGAGGGCGGCAGATGATAGAAAGCGGACGGCAGGGATCGGCAGCATCAAGCGGAGCATCCAGTGGTGTATCGAGCGGTGCAGTGCGGTTGAAATGCCCTCCCATCAGCTCACAGTCTATCACGCCAGGCATGGTGCTTCTGCCCAACTGCTCCCTTGCCATAGCCTCTCCAGAGGACGGGCTAAAGGCATGGGAAGGCAGAAACGGCGAGGGGAAGCAAGGGCCAGGGGAGGAGGGAGAGGAGGAAGGGGACGGGGCAGAGGAGGAGGAAGTGGAGGAGGTAGGGGGGGAGGGGGAAGGGAAGGGGGTGCGGTATGGGGGGGGGAGGGGGTGGGCGGGGCGGGTGGTGGAGTTGAGGGGCGTGTGGGTGGACGGGCAGGGGCGGGTCTTCAACGCCTCTCACCTCTTCTGGCTGGGCGGATGCGGCAGGAGGAGGTCGCTCAGTGAGGTGAGATGCGGTTGAGTGCGATGAGATGCACTTCACTGTGGTGTGAGTTGCAGTTCTGTGATATCCCGATGCAATTATGCATATGAATCTGGCCTGCCAACATGCATGTATCTACTTTTTCTTATCTTTATTGATTCTTTCTTTATTGTTCTCGGTTCATCATCATTATTTGTCCCTGATGGCCCGCTTTCACATCTCTCCCTCATCTTTCGTTCCTTTCTTCACTTGTACATTATGCGGATTTGTCTTAGCATGTGAATGTTTGCACGCATGTGTGACTGAATGTGCGTTGCATGTGATTGCATGTGTGATTGCATGCATGCCATGCCAGCTCAGCCCTTCACATACCCAGCATCAACACCGGTCACCGTCCATCCCCTCGCCATCAACCTAGCCGCCCCTCCATCCAAATCCAACACCCTCACTCCCCCCTCCTCCTCTTACTCCTCCTCCTCCTCTTCTCTCCCCCGAGCCTCATTCATCCACCACCTAGTGCATCACCTCCCTCTCGTCCTCCCCCTCGCCCCTCTCCTCCCTCAACTCATAACCGAAGGTGCTCGGTTCCTAGTGCAAGACCGCAAGTTGAGCCCAGCATGTCTCGCCTATCCTCTCTTCCCCTGCTCTCTCCTCCGCTCTCCTCCTCCTTCCCTCCACGCCCCTCCCTCCCTTCCTCCTTCCACCACCTCGTGCATTACCTCCCTCTGTTCCGCCTCCTCGCCTCTCTTTTCCCTCAACTGATTGCTGTTGCGAGATCGCACCTCAAATCTCAAACAGCAGTGCCTGCCTGCCTGCCTGCACGTCTCGACACCTCAGAAGTTGGGAGCCCCGCCTGATAAAGCCTCATACTCTCTGTGCCTTGCCAGTCCGTGCCCTGTACTTTGTAATCTCTGTGTCTTCTCTCCCTTTTCCCCCATTCCTCCTCCTCAGTGGCTGCATGTCATGGCACCACACTACCTGGGAGCCCCGCCTCATTCACTCCCACCTCTTGCCTCACGGCCCTGGTTCACTTCAAATCTCTCTGCCTTCTCTAATCCCATCCCTTCTGCCTTCTCTATCCCCATCCTTCCCCTCCCTTCTCAGTGGCTGCATGTCATGGCATCACACTACCTGGGAGAACCGCTTCATCAAGTCACTCTCCTTGCCTCCTAATGCCTTACCTTGCCATTCCCTTCTGTCCCTTATCCTTCCTTCCCTTTTTCTTCCACCCCACCAGTGGTTGTCATTCCAACTTGGAACAAAAATCTAAGGTTCAATCTTCACCGTTCCCAGTTGATAACATCAACGGTCCAGTTTCCAACCTGCAATCTTATCCTTCCCTACCTTCTCTTATTTTCCACCCCACCACTGGTTTCACGTCATGGCACAGCACTACCTGGGAGCCCCGCCTCATTAAGTATCACTCTCTCCGTGCCTTGTCCTCATGTGTCTTCTCTCCCCTTTTCCCCCATTCCTCCTCCTCTGTGGCTGCATGTCATGGCACCACACTATCTCGGCGCCCCGCCTCATCAAGTCACCCTCTCTGCTTGTCTCCTGGTGCCGTGCAATGCCATTCCCTTCCGTCCCTTGTCCTTCCCTTCCCTTCCGTTCCACCTTCCAGTGATTGCACGTCATGGCACCACACTATATCGGAGCCCCGCCTCATCAATTCTCAGTCCCTCCGTGCCTTACCCATCTGTGCCTTGTCCTCTCTGTCTCTTCTTTCCCGTCTCCCACCTTCCAGTGGTTGCACGTCATGGCACCACACTATCTCGGAGCCCCGCCTCATCAATTCCCAGTCCCTCCGTGCCTTACCCATCTGTGCCTTGTCCTCTCTATCTCTTCTTTCCCGTCTCCCACCTTCCAGTGGTTGCACGTCATGGCACCACACTATCTCGGAGCCCCGCCTCATCAAGTCCCGTTCCCTGCTTGTCCTTCCCCTCCCTTCTCATTGGTTGCACGTCATGGCACCACACTATCTCAGAGCCCCGCCTCGTCAAGGACACCAGACCACTGTAGCCTTTTTGGTACCAGACCAGATGGACAGTCCACAAGGATAGTTGGACGTGAATTATTGTCTCATGGAACACGGGGCATGCTTGTTTAGCTAAGGGTACATTCCTGTGTGGACATTTGTGTCTCAATCCCCTTTTTCCCGAGTCGCGTCCAAAATTTTTGTCAATCTCGCGTCACAAAAAATGAATGTATCGCGAAACTAGGCGACCAGGCAAATTGCACAGTTGGGCGCATTTGATTGGGTAACACGAATGATTGTACACCCATTTCTTCAAACGCTTGGCTGGGGTGCAGGCCCTACGATATCAGGAAATTTTCCCTGAAATTCCTTATTTTCAGCCTACTTTTGTGTACCTACACTGATTTTTCAGTGTGTAGATTTTTGTGATACTGATTTTTCAGCCTTCATTTCATAGTTAACACTGACTTTTCAGCCTTTTATCGAAGTGTACACTGAATGCAGGCCTCAGAAGTCAGCGAAAAAAGGCTGATTAGGGGTAAAAAGGCTGAGTTTTCAGTGCTGGGAAGAAAGTGGGGCTGATTTGTCAGCTTTTTTTTATTGTATGGGCTGATTTTTCAGCATTTTTTTCATTGTATGGGCTGATATTTCAGAGTTTTTTTAGAGGTGTACACTGACTGATCAGCGTTGTAACGGGGGTGTGGGCTGAAATCCCACTAGTGGAGATTCGTGTAGTGCCGAGAATTTCGGATGTCTAGGTTCGCCCGTTCCACCGTCACACTGCAGATTCCCTCTGAGACAGCAAATTTGCCCCAACAGATCAGATATTCGCCCCAACATAGCAGATATTTTCCCCGGCATAGCACAACAATTTCGTCCAATCACAAGAAATTCGCTCTGACACAACATGTTCTACCAGAAATTTGCCCAATCACAGAAAATTCGCTCGGATTCATCAAGTCGCGCGCACTGTTGTTGCCGACAGAAGGTATCTTCATATGTGAAGCACGTCGTAGGCACTGTTGGCAGCACGTCGCGTGTTGCGCTATAGGAAAGCTTGAAGTTATGTTCAGTCTTTCTTTTTAAGCAAGGCTGAATGATCAGTCATTTTTCTAAACCAAACACTGAAATTTCAGCTTTTTTTTTCATGGCTACCCTGATTGATCAGCCTTCATCCCACTCCTAAGGCTGACGATTCCGCCTATGCCAAAATGAATCTGAGGCCCTGGTTAACACTGAGATGACCAGTACTCCAACAGTTATAGTTCGTTAAGCGTACGAACAAATTGCCATCAGCTAGGAGTGTCTCAGTTGTTAGTGAAATCGCTGTCGAAGTGTGAGGTCTTCGGTTCGAGGCCCTAGGGTGTAATGTTCGTAAGGACAGTAAAGATGTTACGAGTGCAATTGAACGAGCGAGTGAGAATTGCACTATCGAAGCAATTAATACAGTTGAGCGAAAAGCATGAGCGAAGTTATATAGCGAAGCTAGCGTGGTAACGGTAATGCGGGAAATTGGGGTGCGCTACGGGCCTAGCGCCGAGGTTGGGAATTGTCGAGGCGGAGGTCCGGAGCGCGGGTTACCAACCGAACCATGAGGTTGGGTCGCATCGTGAACAGTGGCGGGAGTCGTGGTCGAGGCGAATGTCGCGAGCGGGTAACGTTCACGGATGGGTGCCGATGGCGGGAACGGGCATGTACGCGGTAAGCAGGGACACGAAGTAAGGAAAAGGAATTTTCCTTACACTACCCCCCTCCCCAAGGAGGCCCCTCTTACGAGAGCGCGTGTACATCTCGGAAGTTTCGGCTGCGCAGATACTCAGTGAGGACAGGGTGATTCTCAATTCTATCCAAGAGGACCCAGTTGTCTTCGGTGGGCGTGCGGTCTTTCCAGCGGATCAGGAATTCGATTCTGCGGGCTCCTCGTGGGTCACGCACTCGATGACTCAGTATTTTCTCAGGCGTGATGATTGGCTCAGTCGGCGGTCGTGTCATGCTGGCGGGGCGGTTGCGAGGCAGTTGGCTGGTGGATGGCACGTATGGGCGAAGCAGGCTGACGTGGAATGACGGGCTGACGTACCAGTCAGCAGGGAGGAGGAGATGGGCGGTGACGGGTGTGATCATGTGGGTGATGCGAAATGGCCCGCAATATCGGGGGCGGAGCTTTGGGGTGATGGGCAGGCGGAGGTTTTGAGTGTCGAGTAGAACTAGGTCGTCTGGCTGGTAAGTGACAGGTCGGCGGTGGCGGTCAGCGTTGCGTTTAGCGATGATGTTTGATTTTTTTATTGCTTCGGCTGCTCGGGTCCGTGCTGCTTGCAGTATTTCTGCGAACTGTTGCGCGCGTGGGACTGGGTTGTCGGGATTCGGGGTCATGGGTACTGTGGGGTCTTGTCCGTAGTTCAGGTAAAACGGTGACTGTTGGGTCGTGGCGGATGGCGAGTTGTTGTATGCGAATTCGATGAGTGGCAGTTGCTGTTCCCACGTGGTCGGGTCGTCGCACGTGGCCCGGATGAGCTGTTCCATGGTCTGATTTGTCCGTTCTGTCTGTCCGTCGGTTTCGGGGTGATATGATGAGCTGAACTGCAGTCACGTGCCGAACTGCTGCCACAGGTTCCGCCAGAAGTTGCTGGTGAATTTCGTGTCGCAGTCGCTGATGATCGCTGCTGGTATCCCGTGTAATCGAACGATGGTGGCGATGAAGAGGCGAGCTGTTTCTTCGGCTGTGATTGATTTCTTGCATGCTGCGAAGTGTGCCATTTTCGTCAGCCGATCGACGACGACCAAGATCGCGTTGTTCCCACTTGCTCCAGCCGGTAACCCCGTGACGAAGTCCATCGTCACCTGCTGCCAAGCACGCTCTGGGGGTGGTATCGGCTGCAACTGTCCTACCGGTCGTTGTCGTGACGACTTCATGAGCTGGCAGGTGGGACACGATGCCACGTGTCGTTGTACGTCGGTCAGCATCTCGGGCCAATAGTAATACCGCTGCAGCTGCTGCCGTGTTTTCTCTACCCCGAAATGTCCTGAGGTAACCCCATCGTGTGCCTCCTGTAGTAACACCTCCCTCAGTAAAGTGTAGCCCGGTACCCAGATGCGGTCGGTGCCGGCTTTTACGTAATAAACTCCTTTTGCTGCTGCGAATTGCTGCGAGTTTTCTCCTGTGAAGAACGGGTCTGTCTGGTATCCGTGGGTAAATAGGCCTGTCAGCAGTGGGCTAGTCTGGGCAAGTAGTATCGCGTGGAGTTGGGCAGTAGGGCGGGTCAGTGCGTCGGCAATGTTTGATGCTCCCTTTTTATAGGTGACCGTGTAGTGGAAGTTTGACTCGAGAAAATCGAGCCAGCGGATCTGTCGTGGGTTGAGGTGGGGCTGTGCGCGAAGGTACTGTAGGGATCGGTGGTCTGTCCGTACTGTCACGTCTGCGCCAGTCAAGTAACAGCGCCAGACTTTGAACGCATGCACGATCGCGAGCATTTCGCGGTCGTGTATCGGGTAATTTGTCTCGGGCGGATGCAGCTTTCGTGACTCGTATGCGATGGGCTGTAGGCCGTTGCCGAAATCCTGTAGCAGTACGGCTCCAATAGCGATGTCGCTTGCGTCTGTTACTACTTCGAAGGGGCGGTGTGGGTCAGCGATGCGCAGTACGGGCGGTGAACATAGAACATGTTTCAGGGCAGAGAAGGCAGCATGCTCTTTCTCCCCCCACGTAAAAGTGACCCCCTTCCGCAGTAAATCCGTCAGTGGGGCAGTTAACCGTGCCATATCGGGGACGAACCGACGCACATAATTAACGAACCCTAAAAAACTCTGCAGCTCCGTGATGTTCGTCGGGGGGTGCCACGCTTTGACCGTGTCCAGCTTCTTTGGGTCGATTTCAACTCCAGCCTCCGAAATAACGTGCCCCAAAAATTCTAACCTATCCTGGAAGAACTCGCACTTGGAACCCTTGGTCAGTAATCTGTGCTCGTCTAGAACCTTAAATACTGCTTCCAGATCTGCTAAGTGCTGCTGCTTATCCCGACTGTAAACTAGGATGTCGTCGAGGTAGACTATCACGCATTTATCTAAGAGCGGCCTAAACGCCTCGTTCATGGTCATCTGAAAAGTCGCCGGTGCGTTGGCCAGCCCGAATGGCATCACGGTGTACTCGAAGGACCCATACCTAGTTCGAAATGCTGTTTTTACGCAGTCCGATGGTTCGACC